ACTTATATAAGTCTTCTCTTCATTTAACAGTTCTCTTTCAAAAGTCTGCAGAAACTTTCGGCAGGGTAACTTTAATAAACAAGCAGGTTAACTGAATTAAAAGAACTATTATTTTCTTTTCACTATGTGCAAGCGCATCTACAATGTTTATGACTCAATTTTTGACGAAGACATTTTGTTAGAAAGATTCTTAGCGAAATCTTGACAAAAGCTTTGCATATTTATCGAATGTATAAATTAAGATATCATGAATTTATGATGCGTACCCTTGGCAAGTGCTATTACCGCACGAAACTTTGCACTGACTCGTATTTTTAAATATAAACTGATAGATGCCCTGTGGTCAATGACCTTGACGGGTACCGTTGTTCTTCGGATTTTTATATTTTACGAAGATATCTAAATTTACTATATTGATTCACACCGGTAATCTATGACTTGATCTCTGCATACTATCAAATCATAGTTACTGCTGCTAAAAGCCTCATATCTTTGGCTTTAATCTTAGTTTAATAATTTATCTAAATGTACTGCGCTGCTCCATACCGGTAACTATCAACTGGTAATGGTCTTGAGCTTCACATTCCATCTGATTTTATTTTTATAGTTTATCTACTTTAAACAATTTTATATACTTTTAATTTATATCGTGATCTCTAAAATAAACCGAACACGACATCGGGAATATCATTAGCTTTGGGTTTGGTTTCTCTTGGGCAACCCGAAATTATGTCCAACTCTTGAATTTGAACATTTGTAACATTATTTTTCATTATGACGTGCGAGAATTGTGGACAGTTGCCTCTGCTAGCGATGAACCCTATAAAGTGGAAAATAATTTTTTGTTGGCTTTGAACCCGCACCATTCTTTTTTTCATGCTTTTCATAATGTATTGTTTCAGGAAATTTTCACGATCGTGCGGTGTCCTCTACACTGAGTCCAAAACTTCACGATGAAACCTAATATTATTGATAGATAAACAGAGTGGGCATGAAAAGGCTTTTCCGATATATGAGCCCTTAGCGGCCAGTACGCTCAACCAATAGAAATGAAATTTCAGATATTGTTTTTGAATGTATGCGCTCGAGATTGTGACAATTTCAAACAATAGAGCTCTCAAGATTACGGTCACAATAAAACAATTTCGAAATTTTCGAAAAACAACACCTACTTTTCTCCTGCGTAAATTGATCAACGTATTGGAAAAACATAAATGCCTTTGAAGTGTTATACGTATGACGCAAACTGCCGGCGTAAAATATTTGCAAGAAACGCATTGTTAAAGACCAATTACAATATGAGAGAGGAGAAAAAAAAACTTTTTATTGGACCCTTGACAAACATTGTGGATTTGATGTACACACCTTAGATTCCAGATAACCCAAATCCATCGGAATGAGATCAGGGGATCACAGTAGCCACAAAACTGTAAAGTTATGGGTGATGACCCTATTTTCAAAGTGCTGTTGCAAAACTTGGGATTGTGTGGTGGAGTACCATTTTTCATCCCTACAATATGATTAGCGACATTTCTTGATGCTGTTCTGGAATTCTGCAAAATTGTTGTGTACCGAGCACTTGTGACGAAGCATATTTTCAAACCTATGGAAGTGACCTCTTCGAAAGAGTACTAACCGAGAGCGAATGAGCTTGCGATGTCGCAGCCCACAGTCGCTTTAGCTTCGCTTAAAGGCATTGGTGCCACATCGTGAGGAGTTTTGTTAGTTCAGTAAACGCAGTCCTTGCAGTTTACGTTCCCAGTTAAAAAGAAATGTGTCTCGTCTGTCCTTAATTATTCGCCTGCTATCTTCATCATACCTGACGAGAACAACATTCGAAAAGTCGATATGCTGTTGCTTGTAAACTTTTCTCATATAAAAGAGAAGACATATGTCAAGACGCTACCATGTCTATTTAAATGTCTTATATTCCACAATTAAAAAAATAATGCAAGTTCAAAAATGTTCCAAATGCCTGATACAGAATAAATATGGTTAGCTTTTGATGCGAGCTAACCAAACGTCTAACCGGTACAGTAGTGCGGCGGAGCAATACCTGTAAAAGTCACTGCCGAAGTTCTGGCGCTCCGTCCACTTTTCTCTGTTCCTGCTTGTCTCTATGTCGCAACATGCAACATCTAGGCGCGCTGGAATCGATAAGGGAACATCCGCACAGCAGAAAGCAAGAGCTTATGGACTTTCGGTACACGCAAACTGCGGGCAACTTTTCTTGCAGTGTGTAATGCAGATGTAGTTGTTGCCCACAGTTTCGACCTAATGTATTGTTTCAACGCCACTTTTTGTTTTACAATGCACTGATCAATTTGCGCATTAAAAATGTGAATGACGCCTGACTGCTATAGCGATGGGCCCGGGTTTGAATCTCGGAGAAGCATGGTGTTTTTAATTGTCCGTCCATCATAGGAGGGAACGGTGGCCACCTGTTAGGTGCTTCCATAATGAAATGGCCACCACTTCTGGCCCTTGTAGTGGCGAAAGCCTAATGGCTATTACATAAAACGGCCGGCCATTAAAAAAAACTGAAGAAAAAAAAATGTCAAAGCTTTCACATTTTACATTACGCCCAAAGAGGATTTTTTAGCGTTTTGTATGCTCCTTTATTTATTAAATATCATGTTCTGCAAACTTAAACCATAAAATTTAATTCAACGGCAGTATCGCACGAAGTAGAATTTCCGATACACAGTCTCGCGCGCTGGAGATAATTTTTTTTTTTTCGTACAGTATTGCCATTATTCGTTTTGAAATCGTTGAGTTTGTTAATCAAAAATTCGTTAAAGTTTTGAAAAATATGAAATCGATAATAAAAGAAATTTCAAATTCAAAATTTGGGCTTCCATATGCCCATATTCAATGGAAAATTACATTATTCAAAATTTGATGGCTCTAGGTACCGTTGTGTAATCGCAATGCGAGAAGCATAAATATATTTATGCAGATTCTTCGTTATTTAATTTCTTTAAATATAACACAGGGCTCTAATATTTTGTGGTAACAATTTGAAAAGTGAACCGACATTTACAGAGAACCAACGAAAAATGCCAAAGCGAAATTAATATCCCTTCTGTGCTAACGCCCTTTGGGCTAAAAACTTTAATTCTTTTCGTATTTCGAATCAAAGTTATAGAGCCATTAGGTATTTTGGAAACGAGAAAGATGAAAATCCTGCAACGCCTTCGCCGGAAATCGAACCGCAAACCTCTCAATTACGCTCTGAGTGTGCAGACCACTACACCACGAAGGCTCGCTAAGAAGACGAGAGAAATACCTTATAATGTTTTCAGCCTTTCATTATTTTTTCAAAATAACATTCGAAATTTTAGGAAAGGATGTCTTTTAAATAATAACCTTATCATGACCTTTATATCACTTTGCCTAAAGAGCATTTGTCCTTCTACAGAATTTCTTCGTATTCTTTGTATACAATGCCTAGGTAAAGTGTATAATAATTCTCTAGTTTCATACTTCGAGTAGAAATGCCAAGTATTCTATAAAATGCATATAAATTCTATAGAATGCCAACATTTCATACTTTGCCGATAGCATACATTTCATTTTTTTTTAATTTCATGTAAATGGCAGTACTATTTTTTTACTATTTTAATATTAACCAATATTTTGTTTTATGTTAAAAAATAATTTCCAGAAATTAATGCTTGATTTCTAAAAATATACATTCTTAAGTTTTATTTTTTATTCCAAGTGTGAAGATGTCGCTTTATGAGATTACAATAGTATTTGTTATTTTTACTTAAAAAAACTATCATTTTGCTTATTTAAAATTTTTAAAGCGTTTCTAAAGTTTGAATTATGAGCTGTTTTTAAAGTAGACTGCAATCTTATGTCTTCATTTTTTTCCCTTTTTTCACTGACTTGATGCACGTTTCCAAACCTAAAAAATTTAATGAAATTTTTATCACTTACAAAATTGAGTTACCTTAACCATACAGATTTCCTGTGAAATTCACAATGTAAACAATTTTCAGTAACAATAACTTTGTTCAAATATCTGCATGCTTTCGACAGCTCAAGAGGCCTCTCTTTCCACTTTGAGTCCATCAGCCGCTGTACTGTTGAACAACGGTAACTCTATAAAACCTCTAACAATCGTAACTCGATCCGGTTTAAGTCTAGTGAATGGGCTTGAAAAATATTTTCATGGTTTTTTTCCCGTATAACATGAATACGAAACTGTTCACCTTATAAAATCATCCACGAAGACGGCCCTCCTCTAAAATCCCTTTGGTATTATGTTTCCGCTATGCGGGACTGGAAAGTCGAAAGGGGCAATTCTCAGAACCCGCGCATTTCCAGGATACCCACCTAGCTAGGTTACCATTTTCATTTACTACAATGACCTTGAACGCCAAACAGTAATCGATTATCGCTCAGACTGGGATCACGTGATCCTTCAGAAGCAGAACTTTCGTCTGATTGGTGGATCTCTACGCGGGACAGAGCTCCAGCCGAAACATTTTCGGCAAGCTGTCAAAAAATCCCACGTAGACGGTACATCGTTTCCGTAGCTAGGCGACTTTGCTTGCAGCGGTGCTCTTTTTTCTAGGAATCCTGCGTTTAAACCAGTGGTACCAGAATCTCGTTTTTCAGAAAAGTCTCATCTAGCAGGGACCGTCGCTAAGATGTAAAAAAAAAAAAAAAAAAAAAAAAAAAAAAAAAAAAAAAAAACCTCTTTAGACAGGAACCTTAATGTTCCCGTTAGTCCCTTCTCATTTCCAATAAGAACATGTTCATGTTCACTGCCAACTTTTCATTTCTGTTTTCATTAGTTTCAAAGTTTGTTATTCATTGTAGAGTAACAATAGACATAAACAAAACTTAAAGTTTGACTGTTTTAAAGGGGTATAAAAATAATAATTTAATTTCCTTTTATGTTCTCTCTTTTCAGTGTAGAATGCTATTGCAGAAGTGAGTTTTAATTCGTGAAAGAGGCACAAGTAAAAATCACACTTTGACAAACATTCGCAGAACAGATATTAATGATTGTTTTATTATAATTTTCATATTTTATTTTTATAATTGAACTGTGCAACTAACAATTGAGCAATTGCGCTTTTCGTCAATCAGGTTTTTCAGTGAAATGTTTCTTCCCTTCTCCAAAGAGTAGCAGCTACCTATCAAATGATGAGGGGGTGCCATTCGGAACATCCATTCGGTGTAACTGTCGCATATTATAGGATTTTCTGAAATGGAAAACACAAATCATAATTTCATGTTTTTACTTTCTAAACTGAAACTATGCCTAAAAATTTAATTAAAATTTCGTCATTTCATTCTACGTGTTACAATTGAATGTTATATGGTTCATTTATCAGAACTCTTCGAGATTTGTAGGGACCGATGCCAGAAAAAGATAACCCCAAAAAAGATGGTAATAAAATCCATCTGCGATTAGAGCAGGCCCTCATAACAATTCACCGCCGTAAATGTCTATACAGGTTGGCAATTTTTATGAAGGTCTACTGGTATTCGCCAGGACCAATTCTTCAGGAAAAAGTGTCCATAATAAAAGTGCAAGGCCACTTGAGAAATTAGAATTCATAGCTATAGCTACAAGAATGCAATGAACAGTAAAAGGCCGAATGCAATTTTAAATATCCAGTCATATGTATGAAGTACTTATATATATTCTGCAACTTTATTATTATTTTCGTATTTGTCATCTTTATGCACACACACTACACATTCACTAATGTACATATCTTCTTCTTCTACGGGATTCGAACCCAGTCACTTCCGTACGGCAGTCAGCGTCGTTCATTGCTTACGGGTACCTGTGGTTAGGGACTCTACCGTTATGCTGTGTATCACCTAAGTTTCTGCTTTTCACCAGTTTCCTATCACTACTAACCAACTCGACAATTTTTATTAAACAAACTTTGCCTTTACCTCTTGACGTACTGTTAGCATAAATTTAGGTATTTTGCATAATGAAACTCGAAAGGCATACGAAACGAACGTGCGTCAAGATATATATTGGCGAGAGAAGTAAATTTCGTGTGCAATGCAGTATATTTGATTTTTCACCTTAGCTACTTGTACCTGGCCAAAGGTCTAATACAGTTAGTACTTTCTCTTTTCTGGTACTATGTCGAAGTATGTTCCTGTTTTCTTTTTTCTTATTGCCTAAAATAGGTAAGCCTGATATTTAGGACTGATGATGATTCTATGTAAGTTATTCTTTTCAATACTTCAGTGTTTTAATTTCCGTGAAGATTATTACTTTTTGTTATGCTTAAGTTAAGCAAAATTATCCTATTTTATTAAATAAAGATTTCGTAGTTAATTTTTTGACTTATGATTCTTTAATGAAAACTGTGCTTGAGGAAAAGTACTCATTACGCCTTCAGTGCTAATGCACAACTAACACGTACTAACTTTACAGTTTGCATATAATGAGAGTTAATCATCTCTAACAATTTTAAAAAATTCGATTTAGGAGTAGGGTTTCAGGTTCAGGCACCCAGGTGATTAATGCCATTTTCACCAGTAAGGTGGCCTAAAATTCATCCTCCCAATAGATCAAATACTAACTCTACTTATCTAAAGCGGTACTTTGTATATTATTAAGCATTTTCAACTATATATCTTCAATTTTATCGTAATTAAGAAAATGTTTTTTTTAATAATGCGTTCTTTTTTTAACATAGTTAATGCTTAATTTATGTTTTAATTTCTTTAAATTCTTAATATTGAAGATTACTTTAAAATGTTTTAGTTTGAAATTTTCAGATTCCAGTAAATATATTCGAGTAAGACAGACTCAACAGCTTTTTATGCATTGATTCGTATTTCCATTCCAACATGTAATTTTATAATAAATGAGATCTCATATATGTTGAGTGATTAACATAGTGCAGTAACTGTTATGACCACTGAAAAGTTATAGACAATCAGCAGTTAAAAGTGGTATTAAAATCTCAAATGTTTTAATTGAGTACAAAACTCTTACTCCTTTATCCGATCATTAAGTTTAAAAGGAATGATAGTCGTCCTTGTTGAAATTATTTTGGTACAGCCCTCATTCGTACATCTTTTGTTTAAAACGTGTAAATTTTATTCCCATGAGCTTATTTAAACTACCTGCACATTATTTATTGTAGCAAACCAAAAAATCTATATAAGTTTTTCTTGATTTATTTTGGGTTCGACTGGTCGGAATGACTGTGCTTCCTTCCCCTCAGATTTGAACTTGGATTCTGTCGTCTTTGGTGGTAAACAAAAAGAAAACTTCGCAGTAACTGCGGTCCCACTTTTGCATAAAGATCTGTAATTTTATGTTCTTCGTTATTGCTTTATGCTATGTTTCTAAATGAAATATTTAAAATTACTTATCGAGTCATTACTATGTGCGTAAATTCCCTTCCATGTCACATCACTAGTTAAAGATTGAATATCTCGTGTAGATTCAGTTTCATTACCAAAATAATTATCGAATGAAAAATCAGACAACAAAACAACAGTATAGTATTAGTATAGTTGTTAATTCCGCTAAAATGTTTCTCTTTTTCCCATTTGAGGATTTGAGTTTAATTGAAATCACATTTACAAAAATGTACCTCATTTATTCCAGCACAATTTTTATGAAAACATTCAATTTTTTAATATATTTTTAACTCGCGTATTTTTTGCTAACATAAAATGCGCGCAACGTTGAGAGACTGCTTAGTGAATTATCACTAAGTACAAAATTACAGTACTACTAAATAAGGAGAAGGGTGTATAGAATTCTTTATTAACTCAAATAAAGGTTAACAGTTGGTTAACAATTCCTGCTTACAAAAGTCAACACTTTTGGCTTAAATCAAAAGGTAGTGGATAAACTTTATATTGATGAAGTTTAACTATAGATTAACGAATTCTTAGTTTAACCACCGTGCAAGCTCTGCCTAAACAAGTCAGCGTAAGCAAACCTAATTGCAAGACTAACTCAACGCCGCAGAATTTTAATCGCTAGAGAATCATGGTTAGCAACGTAGCCTTCAAGCAGGCAGAACATGCTCTGATTTCACCCTCCAGAACTTTCCTTTAACTTCTTAATTCTTTATACATAATTTGAATATTGCGCATGCTGGAAATTTAATAAACGAAATTATAAACGATGTATCACTTCTGATTGTCATCGCAAAATATTATTGTCTTATATTATTTTTAAAGATATTAAAAAAAGATAAATCTGTATGTATTTCTGTATTTTCCTCGCTATTTTGAAAACTCTATCGTACCTATAGACATTAAACTTTGAATAATGCTATCCTTCTCTCAAACATGTGCATCTGAAAGACTGAATTACGAATTTGTTCTATTATTTATTTTATATTTAATAAAATTTCAATAAATTTTTTATTAGCAACTCAATGATTTCAAAGCAAGCAGGGGAAACACTATAAGGGGAAAAAACATTTTTATCTCCAACAAGATTGTTGCCATTCGGAAAAATGTAAGATATTAATCTTCAAGTTCTAATTTAAAAACTCAGCTTTGTGAAAGCAATGTCTTACCGCGGCCTAAAATAAAATATTGTTATCTTCTACGCGCTAGCGTGCTGCTCTTCAGTAAAGCCTAAATTTCTTTCAGATTTTAACTGGAAGTTTATTGAGTTAAAAATCGTGTATCAAAAACATTAGATATGTTTAATTAGAAATATTCATTATTTATTGAAATTATGCTAGCTGGATATATTATATACTTTTCTTAATTAAAATCATTGTATACTTTTCCTTTTTTATGATAACTATTTTAGGCTAAATTTTAAAGAAGTAATTTTAACAGCTAGTTTTTAAAGGTATATAGCGAATATAACAAAAAATGTATCGCGACCTCTTACATTCTGTAAAGAATTTTAAAGGTAGGCTCGTTTTAAATAATTTGTGATTTTGTTATTGAACTGAATTTTATGTCGCGTAAGTGCGAAGAATGTGATATTTGATCAATAAAGTTAACACCCAAAACGTTAATAATAAGAAGACAAAAAAAATGTTTCTGTTAAAAATTTTACTAAAAAAAGTGAATATTGATATAATGAACTGAAAAGAGACTTAAAAAATATAAAAATGTATACCAAAACTTTGCACTATATCGGGATTCTAAACATATGCTGCTTTAAATTTTGTGATTTTGTTGTTAAATTATATGTTGCGTAAATGTAAAGAAAACGATGCTTAATAATGAAGCTAAACTGCCCCGCCAAATGAAATAGATAAGGAGTGAGTGTGGGCGAGCTTATGAAATGTTTCAGATTTTGGTTTCAGATTCAGATTCAGATTTGGTTCCTTTTTTAGACCAAGGGACGTTAGCCCAGATGGGCTATTAATTTCGTTTTGGCATTCTGCGTCGAAAGCTTTAAATGTCCGTTTCACTTTTGAAATTGTTGCCCCCAAATATTGTCGCCCTGTGTTATATTTAAAGAAATTAAATAGTGAAGAATCTGCGTAAATGTATGTATATTTCCCACATTGTAATAAAACAACAGTACCTAGAGCCGTCCAATTTTGAATACGTAATCCTCCACCAAATATGGGAATCTGAAAGATCTAATTTGGAATTTCTTTTATTATCGATTTCATATTTTGTAACACCTTTAACGAATTTTTTATTAACAAATTCGACGACTTCAAAGCCAGAAATAGCAACACTGTACAAAAAAAAAAAAAAAAAAAAAAAAAAAAAAATACACCACATGACTTCCTTGTACGGAATATTAAATTATACGCATTTTTCTAAATTTCGTTTAAACTTATTAGATTGAATTAAATCTACTTCGCCGACAGCGCATAAAATACAATAGAATAAATGCATTCTTTAAAATTCACTCTATTTGTTTACCATAGCGACACTCTGGTGCTAGGTTCAATTAACAGCATTATATTTCGTTCATATTATAACTCAGAATGCACAAAATTTATATCATTTAAAGAATTATTGAATCGTTGTCACATGTTCTATTCAAATACTATAACAAAGCTAGAAGGATGCATAAAAGAAATTAAGCAAAGAAAACAAAAAAGAAACAGTTTTTCACAGACGATTGAGTATTTCTCATTCAATTAATTCAGTTCTCACTTCGCGACAAGACAAAAATACATTAAAACTCAAATTTCTGTATTAAAAATTACTAATTATTAAAAATTAAGTAAATCTTAAACACATATTTCCTCGAAAAATTTCCAGAAAGGTTAAGCAT